CTGCTTTAGAGTAATGCTGAAATAATCAGGTATCTCCCATTCCATATTTATTCTAACCAGCACAGTAACAGCTGGACTTGTACCTTTAAAGTTTCCACTTCCTGCTTCAATCTTTGGTTGTCTGCTTGCAAGTCTCGGTTCCTCTGTTCAGCTTGTACCAGCTGTGCTTCCAATTCTGCTTCCAGTTCTCTGCTCCCCTCCTGAAATTCTGCCAGCTCTTCACGGGCCTCTTGGAAACTGTAAGAGGAATGGTGGCAATGAGTGGGGCATTACTCCATTCATGTCCCCACCTTGTCAGGTGTTTTAGCAAGTCCACAACATCTTTCTCTCCATCAACCCTCAAGAACAATAATTGCTGTATTAAGTGAAGATTATCTTTTGGATGTTAATCAGTGCTCTCTTGTGAAAGCATACTAGCATAATTTTTGCTCATTATCTATAATAAGCAAAACTCTCTGGTATGAGGCAAAACTTAAGGTTTTTTTCCAAACAAAATCCTTTGTTATTTGAAAATATATAGGTTCCAAGCACCATCTCTACTGATATGCTGCACTGTTAAAACTTAGCAGACAGACACTCTTCTGTTGCAGAGACAATCCAAACCACCCAGAGAGCTTTGACTATTGGGCAGTATTAAAATGAAATAGATAAATAAAGACAAGGATCAGTCTGAAAGCAATATTTGCTAAGGTCAGCCCTACCTAACACTGTGCCTTCCAAGTTTTGGATTTTAAGTGCCATAAGCTCCAAAAAACACGGCCAATGCTAACATCTGGATTACAACAGGAGTTGTAGTCCAAAATATCTGGGGGATACCAGGTTGGCAACAGTTGGATAAAGACTCATATTGGAAACTAAAATCATCTTAGCTGCATAGTATATATCTACATGAGACAGATATGAAAGATGTTATCTCTTAGGGTGCAAACCTATGCAGCTCAACCTTTAAAAAGCTACACAGACATTGTGAACAGGGAGACTCTGATGAAAATCCAGTGGAAGTATCTGTCATGAGCAGAGCTCTTCTGTCTAAAGAAGGTGAATCTGACCTAAAGAATTTATGTATACAACGCAGTATCAATAGAATCGTGTATAATGGCCCAGTTCAGATTCAGTACTAAACCATGAAATGGGCCTTGGTCTTAGATACTCACCCTTTTCTGGGTGTGGCAAGACTGTAAACTTCTTTAGAACTAGTCACAGTTTTCTGAGCTCAGGCAACTATGACTTTTCCAATTATTTTTTGAACACACCAAAGCAGCTCAAGTCCGATGTAGCAAAAGAACCATGGTTAGTTCTAAAGAAGATTTTTTTCCATCTATTCCATGTGCAAAATAGGATAGGAACAGAATCACACAATAAGGAGGCCTGTGTAGGCATTTCCCATAAAGGCAGCATGCAATTCTCTGCCCAAACAATTTATCTGTCATTGTCATGTTCCTCTGCCACTGCAGTAGAAAAAAATCATGCCAATTTAGCAAAGAAGCAAGGCTCACCCCTTGAGGCATATCCTGTGTAGAAACCAAGGTATGCAAATTTTGCCATCAAGGCAACAAATTTGATGACAGTTGTAAATTCAGCAGTAAAGTTGGGGAGCAATCCCTGCTGGGTTCAGGGGACAATGTAACATCCTGATGTGCAAAAGTTGCCCATGCCTGCACTAATTCATGGTTTAACATTATGCTTGAACAAGGCCACTGTGTTATTAATAATGGTGACAGAATAAACCTGTGAAAATCAATCCATCAATCAATGCAACAATAATCACAGAAATTTATTTTTATTTGTCCAAAACCTACTAATCACAAATAATGCCATTTATGTAGAAGTTCATGTGTTAAAACCAAAATCTTACAAGCTTGCTATCTTGTTTTTTCCATGGTCTAGATCCAAATAGCTGTACAAGTTTCACTTGCTGAAAGTAGCTCTGGACATGTCTTTTTCAAGTACTCTGGCCTTCCTTGCAATGGCAAACTATTTTTGAAACAGGAATTTCAAAAAATAGTATGTGATATGGCAGTGGAGACTGCTATTCAAAGAGTAATATTCATGGGCTGCTTCCACCCCCCAGGACATCTAAAGTAGCTCATTCATTCCCAGACAGTATCTTTCAAACCCCCTACCTTCAGAGATGATCAGCCATATATTTCTGAAGAAAAATAATGCTGGGATGGTATTAAGATACCACTGCAGTTAGGAAAAGATATGCCTGGCCTTTAAGCAAAGAATTTATACTTCACAGTTTATTAAATACCTAGATAATGGGTTTGTGGTAAATATTTATGTATCAGTCCTGAAAGGTTTTTATTGATTTATTTAAGACGTGTATGCCATCCTTTGTGAAAGCAATGAAAGAAACCACAACACATATCTTGCTTATTAAGTCAACAAATGTCAAAAATATAAGTAAAAATGGTGTTGCTCTGGACAAAAAGCTAACAAAGTATGCAAAAGCCATATGACAAGTAAGGACAATGAATCTACTATCTGGAAGTTAAGGGGGTGTATTTTCTAGTGACCCATAACGGCTGTCTTTGTCTTTCACCCCATTCCAGCCATATTCTGTATTCAAACAGCAAACTGAATTCAATCAAGTCATACAAGTGCAGGACTGTGCTAATATAATATACAAAGGGCAATGCTTAAATTGCACCCTAATCACTGTTAAGCTACAGTGAGACAAGAGTTCTTACAGTCTAAGAGTTATTTACCAAAAATAAGCAGTCCTGTATCTACCTTAAATTTCTGTAAAAAGAGAGTGATACTCCAAAGTTTGATACAGTGAGAGCCAATCCAACAGTGAGTCATGAGACAATCTCTCAGAGGAAGCAAACAGCAGCATTCTTGAGACAAAAGAATGATAAAAGTATCTTTGTACTGTTTGCAAAGATAAGATTCCAAACAGTACTAGGCCACCCCCAAAAAATTTTTATTCTAGCATCGCAGAGTTGGAAACACATGACTTCCAACTGCACGTTTCTCGTTACTGGACACTTCAGATAAAGTAATTTCAGTGCATTAACAGAATAGTACAGAAAAATTCTGAATAAGCCAGTACTAGAATCATACCTTTGTTTATACTTCAAAGACAGCTTCTTCCAGTATACTGTTTCCTCCTCTGGACTTGAAAACTCTGGGATTTCTTCACAGTCCATGATCAGGATCTTCTGTAAAATTCAAATTAGAGCACATAAAGCCACAGAGCTTAATACATTGCTGCTGAAATGTCTTCTTGGTTCCCAACAAGTCACATGAATACCAGCTTTCCAAATATAGAAATTGGTATATGGCAAGTAGATCTAAATCTCACTTTATAGTTCTTTGCTCAAAGAAGCAGATGTGGGGTGCTGGCATATTTTGATTGATAATGAAGAACAGTATGCAAGGCAAGGAACTTACATATAAGTTGGACAAAGATCCCAAGAGTCTTCCAAAAATATATTAAGCTACATTTTAAACTGAATCCTACTTTAAGCATTTTTAAAAGGAAAAAAAATAAAGGAGGGGGGAACAAACTCCACTCTCTAGAATAGCCTGCAGCAACTTATCTTGTCCAGATGTTTTGATTGCTAATTCTCATCAGTCCCAAGAAGTATGGCCAATGGTCAAGAGTCCAAAATGTGTGGTGGGCAAGGGTGAGGAAGGGTGCCATAGGACAAATTGTATCATTATATTCATAGAAGGATTAACAATATTAAGATGAATATGTCTCAAGAATTTTCTTAATACTATAGAAGGCCTCCTAACTAGAGGGAAATGCTGGTAGCCACTAACACCCACTGAACAAGACATAACTATTAAGGTTTGCAAACCATTTAATCATAGTAAAGGTTACTTTTCTCTTTACAGAAAGAAAGAATGTTGCAGAACATTTCATTAGCTCCGTGCTTCAAATTTTCCTTTTTTGTCTAAATAAAGAATGGATAAAATACAGAAGCATGGCTCAACAACACTACTACTGAATATGACTGAAAAGATAAACTACTACAGCATGCCTAGGGAGACAGAGAGTAGAATACCAAGGATGCAACAGACATAAAAGTAATGTCACAACTTCACCAGAAAGAGTGTTAATCCTCTATCCCATGCTTTTCCCCCACTTTAAATCATGCTGACCCAAAACATCTATTTGACCCACAGGGAAAAGTACAGATTCTCTGTGTGCCTGCACAAGGGCAATAGCAGGTCATGTGAGGCAATTTAAATCAATAATACAGTGCTGAAGACGAGTGTTTAACTCCTTCCGCCATGCACCACAGCCCTGATCCAAAACGTTCTCACCTCTGCTACTACTTCTGCATTCAAATACCCAGGCTATCCTGTTCATAGTCCAGCTTGACTCCCAGTGATACATGGTTTCAAGTAGCACTTTTTCCTGCTGTTCATTCATATTCCCAGGACAAGTTGCAAAGAAAAATAAAAGAATATAACAACTGCCTCTTTTCAGAAGTTTGCTCAGCCCAACCCTACAAAGACAATCAATGCTAGCATTTGATTTCCTAACTTTGAGATGCTCTATCTGCTACTGTACTGAAGTAGAAATAAAAGTGGATTCACCAACTGCCACAGAACATACTTACTTGCTCACCTATATTTGTATGAAGGCTGTGGTCAGCAAAGAATACTACTGAATTCTGACAAGAATCAATAGCCATTTTTTCCCTCCAGGCACAAAAATTGGCACATCTCACAATTCTGTGACCTACATTTCTGATCTGAGCATTCAGAGCACACACACAAAATGTTCCATTGTTCTTGTCTCTGTACTGAGAAGCACAAACTAGGGGAAGAGACAGCATGAAAATCTAGAACTACAATTCTAAAAAGCAGTGTCACTTTAGCTCAGTTTCAGGAGTAATGCATATAGAAGGGAAATCAAGGAAGACAAATACTGACCCATCCTTTTTTCTACAATTCTCTCCTCCCACCTACATATATGGTCCAGCCCAGTGGTAATGTAACCAATACAACTTATGCTGAATTGAGCCGCAGAACACTTTCAAACTGACTTCATCAAGGGAAGTGACTCAAGGAATGGAACAAATTACTAAGTGGCATCTTTGGCCTTGGCAGATCCTGCTGCCCAGTTAATGTGCTAACATCAGTGTTTGTAATGAAGTACTATTTAAAGAAGTCTCTACCATTCCAGGAATGAACTATTTGTGGATACTTCCATGTCACAGTGTCTCTGCATTTTAAAGGCAAAACGACAAAATGGCAACGTGGAAAACGCTGAGCAGGTGGTTTTCTACTATGCACTGTATGTCCTCATCTACTACATCTGGGAAAATATAGCTACCTACAGCCATAGAAACATTTATGATGGGATCTAGGTATAACAAACTTGCGAGCAGTTATTGGAGAACAGAGAGTACACTGCAATTTCAAAAAAAGAAAAGGAAATGGCAACTACTGCAGAGAAGGGATTTCAGAGGCAATACACCTTTCCCACACAGCATGCATCCATATTTGCAGCTTTGCACATAATATTGGCAAAAAGGCCACAGAAGCTTAAGAAAAGTATGTGAAAGACATAAGTAGAAGATCTAAAAATTAAAAAAAAGTCATTAGTGCATAGCTATCAAAGTGCATTAGTGCATAGCCTATCAAAGAGAAGGCTATCAATGGGTACTACTATGATTGGCTATAAGTTTCAGCAGGCAGAACTCTCATACCCATCTTGCTAGAGGGATCCTGTGAGCAGCTGGTTCTACCCTGTGAATAGCATGCAAAACTGGATGGACCACTGGTGTGATCTAGCATGACCTGTTTAATGTTTTAACAGACACCATAGGTTGCAGGAATCAGTGAGTGAACTGCTTAGCAAGAGCAACAAAATCCACTTTCCACTCTTACGAAGCTTGCATAGCTTAGTACCACCAGTGACAGCCACTCCACCACGTGCCCAGTTTGGATCAATCATCACTGGCCTGTTTTTCTCACTCCCTTTCATAGTCACCCAGTTTTTTCCCTTTTCTTTCAGAGATCACTTTTCACACTCTCCAAAGTGACCGACAACTGGAGGATGAGGGGAGGATTAAGTAAGCTCCCTTTAGTACCTTCAAGAAAAAAAATAAATATAAATATAATAAATAATGTGAAAGGGAAACACAGCAGTAGCAAAAGGGATTACAAATGGAGTGGGGAAAGGAGAAAAAAATAGCTTCTAATGGTCAGGTCCTTGGGATATTTGGGGGGCTTGTGTAGGAAGGAGTGGAAGACAACCCACAGAAAGCCAAATTGTCTACTGGATGCACTGTGGGTTTTTTTCAGGAACAACCCACACAGCACAATTTATGTGCAAAGTGAATTGCTGTGCAATGCAAACTCAACAATGGCTGATTATTTATAGAAAAATGGTACTGAAGGGTGTTTTTTCAGTTTCTAGGGAAGACAAAGCCAATTTCAAATGCAGAAAATAACCCACTCTATCAAAAAGAACTTTCTGCACACATGTGAAAGACAGCCACTTCAGCTATATGCAATTTCCAAGAGGCCAGGAAGAAATTAAGATCTGAAGACTACTTGAGGCAGGCTCCTTTCACAAAACTAGAACAGGGCAAGAGTTTGGAAACATTATCTGCCACTGATCTTTCGTATATGATGCATATGTCAAAAAACTAGTATGGTTTAATCTTTTTCATGGATTTCATAAGACGTCTGAAACAAAACAAAGCAAAGCAGAATGAAGATTATCCCTCTGTCAGATTTTCTGGGGCACTTATCAGAGCACCTCCATGGGACAAATCAAGTAAGACACTGTGAACAGGCACCCTCTACTCTCCAACTAAAGCTTTCCAATGCTTGGCCAAAACAACCCATGAGCAAGGCGGTATTGTATAGTTTTACATATAGCTGTGTCACTGTAGGCTGTTCTCACTGTAGAATATAGCTAGTTAAGTTACTTGCATCCATTTATTTTTAAGTAACACAAAATCACATTATGTGTCCTACTCACAACCTAGCATTGACATGGTATGTCTGCACATTTTCTTGCATAGCTGAGAAGCAGACAAACAGGATCAGCATAGCTGGCTCAAGGAGCCAGCTGGGACCACAGTACTGCAATTAGTAGATGTTAGCTGGCTTCTTTCCTCCTATCATTATATACCCATGGCACCATGCTCAAGGCTACTCAGTAACACACAGTTCAGTGCTCATGTCTAGCAGAAGCTGGTTTAGGTATCCCACAGCATTTCAAACCAAAAGAAAATACACAAAAATGTAGAAAGAATATGTCTCAGAGTGATTGCCTACATCAGCCTTCTTGAAGCTGGTACCCTCCAGATGTTCCAGACAACACTTCACATTAGAACAGAAAAAGCATATCCCTGTACCTATGCATACAGAATTATCTATCTATCTTTTTGGTATCAGTGTTTGCAGAGCACAGGGTCTGTCTGTTACAGAACAGAAAAGGGACAGTCTAGTCCATAGGCCAAATAGAATTTCTCACTGTGAAACACTATGTTGCAAAGTAACCAGAAACAGTATGTGTGTGTCTGTGTGTGTGCGTGTGTGTTCGAGATACTTACACCTTGATCCTATGCATGCTTACTCAGAAGAAAGACACATGTCATTCAATTGGACTTAATTTCTAATTAGCTTGCATAGGCTTGTAACCTTACCTTCAAACAAATGGTAATAACTTGTATAAGACAGAACCAACCAAAGGTTCTAAGGGGATATAATATTCTGTGGCTAAAAGCTGAATGACCATTTTGGATTATTCTTTGGAGTTACTTAATAGATCTACTTAGCAGCAATCTTATAGGTTGTATCCAATATTAGTCTAAATTCAGTCTTAGTCATTTCAATAGGTATACTCTTAAGTAGAACTAACACTGACTACAACCCATTGTTTTAATTATAACAATCATTTAGCAGGAATGCTTGTTCAGGAAGCAAATTAATTCCACAATAGAAACCCTGATTTAAATTAGCTAGTTAAAATCATATTTCTGTCCATTATCTAAAATTGCCTTAATTGAAAGTCACTATCATAATCATTAATACAAGGAAGAAGACAAAAATCATTCTATACCCATCCTTCCTCCTATGTACCTCACTTCCTTGCTTCAGCACACTCTTAAAACTCTGCATGAAAGTTTATAAATGTGTGTATTGTGCAAAACTATTACAGTCTGGTTTCCAACAATATTAATTT